GCAGCAACAAGTGCATCTATTTGACCAGCATATGGCTCCACCACTAATGGCCTACCAGAAACAATCACTACTACACACTTCACTTCATTGCAAACATTGTTGACGATGCTTGGACATGGCTCTGGTATCGTCAAGTTGGTGTTGTCGCCGTACATCTCTGCGTATGGCTGTTCACCAACCACAACTATAGCGTAGGAGAAGTTGTTGGCAATCACAAAATTTGCATCTGGGTTCTCGCTAAACATGATCTCTGTGCTTGGGTCTACAGCTGCTGAGATACCATTCAGGATGGTGGTTCCTGTTCATGATCAATCAATGAGCAATCTTGCACACTCATGTATTTCTGTTTGTGTACATATACCTATACGGGTCTTATATATGATATTTGATTTGAAAAGATTGCAGGTGAATGAATACTACAGTACATACCAGCAGTGATGTTGTTGCCTTTAAGACCTTGCCAGGTGATGGTCCATCCTCCACACTGATAGCCCAAATTGTTGGCATGAGTTCCTGCAACAAGGATTCTTGATGCATTCTTTGGCAATGGCAGTACAGGCTCATCTGCATTTTCTCCATTCTTTAGAAGAACAAGAGACTTCCTAACTGCTTCTCTTGCCAAGTCCCTGTGGGCCTAAATATAGATGAATGGTTAATTTGAAATGTTAGTCAAGAAACAAAAATAACTAAAATCTTAAAAACTGGCATTAGTCAGTGCTAATTTTACCTGGCTTCCAATCTGATCTACATAGGTTTCATCAGCCAATGGTTTCTCAAATAATCCCATCGTGAATTTGACCCTCAAAATTCTCTTAACAGCATCATCAATTCGGCTCATAGGAATGAGTTTATCCTCAACAAGCTTTGTAACAATATCAATGAACTCGGTGTAATTGTAAGGAACCATGACCTGAAGAAAACAATCCAATTTAAACTGACAATATAACATAATAATTGCATTGAGAATCTAACATGGTCCAGTACTCACCATATCGATTCCGGCATGAAGGCCTAGCATGACTGAATGTGAGAAATTTGCATGCTCAGGGTAAACGATCCGATCAATACCCTGCCAATCAGAGATGACAAAGCCCTGCAATTGCGAATATACTCAGAGGCTTCAATTAGAAAAAATAATGATCAAATTCCAAATATAGAGCAGCTAACTAACTGTAAATTACCCTGAAATTAAGAGTGTTCTTGAGAAAATTGGTAACAAGATCATGGTTGGCGTGCATCTTCTTGCCATTCAAGCTGGAATACGAGACCATGACAGTAGACACACCCTTGATAATGGAGTCGTAGTAGGCAGGCATGTGTATGCTCATGAGACCTTGCCAGTCTATAACAGTGTTGTTCTCATCAATGCCCTTTGTGGTGCCACCATCACCCACAAAGTGCTTTGCACAGGCTGCAACTTTATCTCTGCAATTCATGTTTATCAACCAACCCAGGACTTAAGGGAAAACCTTAAAGAGAAACACTATCTTTAATAGTTAGTACCAGAAGAAGAAAATGAACTTACTGTCCTCCAACATAAGGAACACCCTTGCGAGATTCTGCGGGAATATCACCTTGCATCCAGGTATGATCTCGTCATGTCTTCACAACTTTGGG